CCTCTAAAATCTGTATGACCCTCTCCGATTGTCCATCCGTCTGTGGATGAAAAGCAGTGCTAAACATCAATCTCGTTCCCATAGACTCTTGGAACTTCGGCCAAAATCGTGATGTGAATCGTGGATTCCTGTCGGATACAATGGTTATAGGAAACCCATGTAGCCTCACGATCTCATCCACATACAATTTGGCTAACCTCTCAAGTGCATAGGTAGTGTTGATAGGTAGAAAATGTGCACTCTTCGTGAGCCTATCAACCACAACCAACACGGCATCATAATTCTTTACTGTCTGTGGTAGCCCTACCACAAAATCCATAGTCACGTGCTCCCATTTCCACTCTGGAATGGAAAGTGGCTCTAATAACCCAGCTGGATGCCGATGTTCTGCCTTAACTTGTTGACAAGTAAGGCATCGGCTGATGTGCTCAGCTATTTCCTTCTTCATACCAGACCACCAATAACTTTCTTTTAACTCACGGTACATTTTCATGCCCCCCGGGTGCATGGCATAAGCCGATGAATGAGCTTCCTCTAAGATGGACTTTCGGAGCTCATCATCCGACGGTACACACACTTGGTCATGAAATAATAAGAGACCATCATCTCTTTCCCTGAAATCCTCCACTGGTCCCGCTTGCATGCGTTCCCGGACCTTCATAAGTGTTGGGTGTGTTTCGAAAAACAAATAAAACGAATTAATAAAATTAATAAATTAAAATGACAAAACGAAAACAAGAAATGAGATGAAGCAGAACAAGTCAAAGCTCGTGCAACGCACGATTTCCTTAAAACGTATTCGTTGCCTCCCGGGGTGCTAGGAGCGTTGCAAAAATCGTTTCCCAGGATACGATGACTACGAACAAGCGTTTGAGCACTCAAACGAAAGTTCCCACGAACGTGAACAAAGCAAGAACACTAAAGAGTTTTTGTGGAATGCTAGAGGTGTTTTTTAGCTCTGAAAATATGTGCACGAAGTGTATGAACGTGTGTCGTTAGCAAAGCACCTACTAACCTTTTATAGGGGTGGATTATGGTGTGTTAATGGCTGTTTAAGGCTTGTGAACGTTGGACATCAATGTCCTAAACGTTGGGCATTGATTGCAGCCAATAAACAGCCCAAAACGTTCATATGAACGTTGGGACTTCAATGGCAGCATGCTGGCATTGATTCTCCAAGCAAGCTGTCCAAACCCGCTGCATTAAGGTACAAAGACGTTGGGTATTTATGCTGCAACGTTCCAGTTCAGCATGGAGCAAAAATAAAATAGGAACGTACCGGAAGAACAAAAATTAACGTTATCTTTAGAAGATAGGATTTTCGGACGGCATTCGTGTGTTCGCAGGTCGGACGCGCACGCAAGTCGCGCTTTTTGTTCTTCGGTTTCGGGATTTGATTCGCACCCCCCCCCCCCCCTGCGCGCGTGGAGAGAGCCTTTACCCTAAGGAATCTTAACTCCTTAAGGGGGGTTTCCCTTTATAAAGGGTTCAAATTCCCTTGTGATTTTCGGTGTGGGAAAAACCCATACCAAAACCACACATTTTCCTAGTTTTCTCCATTCCAACGGGTACACTTTGAAAAGCGATTTCTCATTCACCCGTTATCCGTTTTGAGCGTACCATATATCGAATTGTAGCCCTAAGCAAGGACTGTCCGAAATCACTTTGACCCGACCCAAATCGGAAGTGGACCCCGCTCAAAAAATTGCCCCAAAATGACCATTTAATGCAATTTAACACACTTTTTTCCAACAATCCCCCACATGAATGAAAATTGATTTTCGAGACTTAAAAAAGACACGAAGATAGGAGGACACGTTGTAATCACCGGATGATCCTTGTATACGGAGAGGTAGGTTTAATCCTTTGAACCTTCCGCTGTAAAGCCCGTTTATTTACTGGCTGTCTAGTAGACTCGATGTCTTTGAACTATACTGCCGTCGTGTAAACATTGGCTTATCTTTACACAAGAACCTTCCAACTTTGTTCTGTTCTCATGGGTGTGCCCGTTTTGGCCATGGGTCACCGTCCTGGTTCTGCAAGAGTTTCTAAAGAACTGAGCCTTTACAGTTCTCCTTTGAAGCGGCCCTCTTCTCTCTCACATAGGTGATTCTTTCACGAGTATCCCGCATACTCTTCTAATGTTATCGAGTAGATCAACATTTTAGAATCATTAAAGCAAACGTTTTTGCTAACCTCGTGCGGGAGTCACTGTTTCAACGAGGAGTGGGTAGGAGTCCGGGACCCCCACAGTGACCATCCTCCGCTCTATAATTTAGTTGTCCCATTTGAACCTAGGACCAACTAGGTTGGGTATCCACTATAGAACTTTTCAATTCACGGGCTTTAATCCCATTCCTCGTGTCAACTTCTCCAACAATTCTCTATCCAATGCCTTGGTTAGCGGATCCGTTATGTTATCCTTTTACTTTACGTAGTCAATAGTGATAACACCCGTTGTGAGAAGTTGTTTAATGGTGTTATGTCTACGACGGACGTGTCTAGACTTACCATTATAGAGATTGCTCTGTGCCCTTCCAATTGCCGCTTGACAATCGCAATGTATCGAGAAAATGCTTCTCCCAGGTTTCTCCCAGCTTGGAATATCCTCGAGAAAATGGCGTAGCCATTCAGCCTCTTCAGTGCACTTATCCAAGGCTATTAGCTCAGATTCCATCGTGGATCTAGCTATTAACGTTTGTTTCGAGGACTTCCATGAAACGGCTGCACCCGCCAAAGTGAAAATATATCCACTCGTGGACTTTGAGTCCTTAATGTCAGATATCCAACTAGCGTCGCTATACCCTTCAAGTACAGCTGGATATCTTCCATAGTGCAGTCCAAGGTTTTGGGTTTTTCGTAAATACCTCAAAACTCTTACTATTGCCTTCCAGTGTTCATCACCGGGGTTGCTAGTATATCTACTTAGCTTACTAACCACAAAGGCAATATCAGGCCTGGTACAACTCATTAGATACATTAAACTGCCAATAATCCTAGCGTATTCTACTTGAGAAATACACTCTCCACGATTTTTGGTCAGGTGTACGTTTTTATCTAACGGCGTCCTTGCCTCTTGATAATCATCCTTATTAAATTTAGTAAGGATTTTATCAACGTAATGAGATTGGCTTAGCGTAAGACCGTCAGGTCCTCTAATTATTTTAATCCCAAGGATTAAATCGGCCAGCCCCATATCCTTCATGTCAAATTTAGAATTTAGCATGTTTTTGGTAGAATTAATCATTAGATTATTGCTACCCACGATGAGTATATCATCCACGTATAAACATAAAATGACATAGCCGTCTACCGTGCTTTTCACATAGACGCATTTGTCACTTTCGTTTATTTTAAACCCATTAATTAACATTGCATGATCGAACTTTTCGTGCCACTGTTTAGGGGCTTGTTTCAATCCGTACAATGATTTAATTAATTTACAAACTTTCCTTTCTTGGCCAGGAACACGAAAACCCTCGGGTTGTTCCATATAGATTTCTTCGTCTATATCGCCGTTTAGAAAAGCGGTTTTTACGTCCATTTGATGAACTTCCAAATTCCGCAAAGCGGCAATTGCTAGTATCATCCTAATGGAATTTATTCTCGTTACCGGAGAATACGTATCAAAGTAATCATGGCCTTCACGTTGCTTGTATCCTTTGATTACAAGTCTGGCCTTATACTTATCAATGGAACCGTCGGGTTTCATTTTACGTTTAAAAATCCACTTGGATCCCAAAGGTTTACTTCCCGGAGGGAGATCAACCAATTCCCATGTGTGATTTTTTAGGATAGAGTCCACCTCACTTTTGATGGCTTCTTTCCACATTGGTCCTTCGGTAGACGTTACGGCTTCCGTATAAGTCCGTGGCTCATTTTCTATCAAACAAGTTAGAAAATCCGGTTCATTTTCTACCATACAAGTTAGAATATTCGAATCGAATTCTAACAGGTATGTGAGAAAATCCGGTCCGAAGGATTTTTCAACTCTAGCACGTTTGCTACGTCGGGGTTCGGCTTCTTCACCGGATCCCTCGCTAGTATCTTCCATAGCTACGTCAAATGTTCGTTTTGACGTGCTAGGTCCATTGTTGGACTTGCATGGAAATACGTCTTCAAAGAATGATGCATTCCTTGACTCAATTATTGTGTTTTTATGTACATCCGGATTATTCGAATCGTACACTAAAAACCGATAAGCACTACTATTTTGTGCATATCCAATAAAAATACAATCCACCGTTTTTGGACCTATTTTTATTTTCTTTGGTGTCGGTACAAGCACCTTAGCAAGACACCCCCACACTTTCAAATATTGATAGGAAGGTCGTCTACCTTTCCACAACTCGTACGGAGTTTTATCATATTTTTTCCGGGGAACCTTATTTAAAAGGTAATTGCTTGTTAAGATCGCTTCGCCCCACATATTTTGTGGCAGGCCCGAACTTACTAGCATCGCATTCATCATATCTTTCAATGTGCGATTCTTTCGTTCGGCAACACCGTTTGATTGAGGTGAATAGGGTGCGGTACGTTCATGTACTATACCCACACTAGCGCAAAAGTCACCAATTGGTGCTTCATACTCGCCACCTCGATCACTCCTAACCGTTTTAATCTGTCGATTAAGTTGGTTTTCCACTTCATTCTTATAAAGAATAAATTTATCGATTGCTTCGTGTTTATTTTTTAATAAATAAACATAGCTATAGCGAGTGCTATCATCGATAAAAGTAATAAAATATTTATTACCGCCACGTGTTTGTATTGATTTAAAATCACAAACGTCACTATGAATTAATTCTAGTGGTTCCGTTTTTCTTTCAACTGATTTGAAAGACGTTTTCGTTAGTTTTGCCTCGACACAAACATCGCATTTGTGCTTCACATCAATTGTGAATTTAGGAATGTGTTCCATGTTAATTAATCTACGTATAGAATTAAAATTAACATGTCCTAGTCTACCATGCCACACATTGGAAGACTCAAGCAAGTAAGCAGAAGAGATTTTATTATTATTATTAATAATAGTCATTACATTGAGCTTAAACAGCCCATCAACTGCGTACCCCTTTCCCACATACATTCCCGATTTAGACAAAACTAGTTTGTCCGACTCAAAGACCATGCGGAAGCCATGCTTGTTCAACAAAGAGCCCGAGATCAGGTTTTTGCGTATCTCCGGGACATACAACACATTGTTGAGAGTCAGCTCCTTGCCCGAAGTCATCTTTAGGACCACCTTGCCCACGCCTTCCACCTCGGAGTGAGTAGAATTTCCCATCCACACCTTCTCACCGTTTGATGGCTCAAAGGTCATGAATAGCTCCCGGTTAGAGCAAATATGCCGGGTTGCACCGGTGTCCACGAACCACTCCTTAGAATTGGATCCAACGAGGTTGACCTCGGTCACCACGGCCGCAAGAATGATGTCTTCATCCTTTTGCCCACCTTGCACCATGTTGACTTGAGAGTCTTTCTTCTTCCTTGGTGCCTTGCAATCCGAGGACTTGTGTCCATTTTTGTTGCAATTGAAGCATTTTCCATTAAATTTGGGTTTGGAAACGCCTCCTTTGGGACCGAGCTTGCTCTTCCCATTGCCTTTATTTTTGGAGCCTTTTGCATGCTCCACCACGTTGGCCTTGGCGCCATGAACAATTGGGAGTTTCCCATCGTTCTTCCGGTTATCCTCTTCAATCCGAAGACGGAGGATCAATTGCTCCAAGTTCATTTCCTTTCGCTTATGCTTAAGGTAGTTTTTGAAATCCTTCCAAGCCGGCGGCAACAAATGTATAATTGACGCCACTTGGAACGACTCGCTAACCGTCATTCCTTCATCTCGAATTTCGTTGAATATCATTTGCATTTCTTCAACTTGACTCAAGACCGTCTTCGAATCCACCATTTTAAAATCAAGGAATCGACCGACAACAAATTTCTTTGCACCGGCATCCTCGCTCTTATATTTGTGGTCCAAAGCATTCCATAGCTCCTTAGCTGTAGCTAATTTGCTATACACGTCGTACAAAGCATCATGCAGCCCGTTCAACACGTAGTTTCGGCATAGGAAGTCAGAATGCTTCCAAGCTTCAACCGCGTTGAAAGATTGCACATCCACCTCACCCCCGGTTACAACCGGAGCGTCCTCGGTCAAGAACCTTGCCAAGCCGAGAGTAGTGAGGTAAAAGAGCATCTTTTGCTGCCACCTCTTGAAGTTCAACCCGTTAAATTTTTCGGGTTTCTCCACAGAGTTGCTCGGCACGGTCACCATAGGGATAGCCCTTTGGTTAACCAAAGCAGATGCACCGCGTTGTGAACTATTTTTCACTGGAGCTCCGCTTTCAGAGTGATTATCGTTCAAACCGTTCAAAGCATTCTGCCCAACAACATTTTCATCTTCTTGAGAAATCATTTTTCCGTTTCTTACGTTCTTCGGAAACACAAAAACAAGTTCGTTCACCAAGGTGACAAACTACAAGTGTAAGATTGTTTACCGTAGTAGAACAATCACCAAATACGATTTAAGTTTGTTGGGTGTGTTTCGAAAAACAAATAAAATGAATTAATAAAATTAATTAATTAAAATGACAAAACGAAAACAAGAAATGAGATGAAGCAGAACAAGTCAAAGCTCGTGCAACGCACGATTTCCTTAAAACGTATTCGTTGCCTCCCGGGGTGCTAGGAGCGTTGCAAGAATCGTTTCCCAAGATACGATGACTACGAACAAGCGTTTGAGCACTGAAACGAAAGTTCCCACGAACGTGAACAAAGCAAGAACACTAAAGAGTTTTTGTGGAATGCTAGAGGTGTTTTTTAGAAGATAGGATTTTCGGACGGCATTCGTGTCCGCAGGTCGCCCGCGCACGCAAGTCGCGCTTTTTGTTCTTCGGTTTCGGGATTTGATTCGCACCCCACCCCCCCTGCGCGCGTGGAGAGAGCCTTTACCCTAAGGAATCTTAACTCCTTAAGGGGGGTTTCCCTTTATAAAGGGTTCAAATTCCCTTGTGATTTTCGGTGTGGGAAAAACCCATACCAAAACCACACCTTTTCCTAGTTTTCTCCATTCCAACGGGTACACTTCGAAAAGCGGTTTCTCATTCACCCGTTATCCGTTTTGAGCGTACCATATATCGAATTGTAGCCCTAAGCAAGGACTATCCGAAACCACTTTGACCCGACCCAAATCGGAAGTGGACCCCGCTCAAAAAATTGCCCCAAAATGACCATTTAATGCAATTTAACACACTTTTTTCCAACAATAAGTTCTTAGTCAGTTTCTTGACCCTTCTTGATCTCATCAAGAAAAGTAAGTCTCACCTCAAATCGTGCTAATAAGGCACCATTGCTAGGTACCTCCAATTTGGCTCTCAATGCCCTCAAACTAGCTAGCAATGCCCCAGACGAACTCTTCTGACAGACCAAAATGTGTAGTGTGAAATGGTGTAAAAATGTGAATGGAAATGATGTTTTAATTGGCTTGTAACGATATAGTATAGAGTAAGTGAGTATCGTTCCGCTAGAGAATGGCTCAAAAAGAGAACTAGAATTAATGATTGATTTTTAGCTAATCACAAATTGATCACATTTTGCAATGGAGCTAAGTGAACAGATTTTTTTTATCTTGTTTTTATAAATGTGAAATTGCTAGGAAATAAAATAAATCACAATACTTGATAATTTAACAATTAATGATATAGTGAAAATTAGGCTTGGGCTAAGAGTGATTTTATTTTCATGTTCATAATAATAAAGATTTAACTGATTAACTTGGTTACTTTTAGGTGTGTGAAAGATTTTCAAATGGTAATCTTCTAATCGTTCCCACGACTTAGTTGATTACACTATCTTAAATTAATTCTGCTCCCGCGGTAATTTTATTAAGACAGTAAAAAGTACAAAATCAAATTATCCTAAATTCCTTAACACTTCCGTGTAGCAATTTAGTGGGTGAATTAACTAAAGGGATTTTTAATGAAACTTCACTCCCGTGATAATATTCATTTCCCAATATAATGTATTTAGCAGATTAGAACATTCAACCCAACACCCTAAAATTAACCAAGTAAAAGTTTTAACCAATTATTATCATATGAACATTAACAGTAAAATTTACATCTTGCCCAAGCCTAAACTAAATTAGCTACTCATGTTTGCACGAAAATAAAATGAATACAAATACTTCATACATTGTTTAATATTTAAGTATGAGAAACGAAATTAAAAGAGAATAAAACTTTACTTGCATTCAGGCTTTTCTGGAACTGGAGTGCACAAGATGACGAACTCAAGACTGAAATTGCTGGAAACTAACTTTAGAGGAGTACTGATTTATACATAGTAGCTCTAGAAAGAACTATTTATTAAATAACTACTAATACAAACTGAACTAAAGAAAGAAGGAGATTTCTCTCCGAATTGGTGTCCTGCCGGAGCTCTCAAATGGTCCTTTATATAGGAGTAGAAGAAGGGGCCAGAGCACCAAAAATCCTGAAATGAAGGTGTTGAAGGTCTTGATTTCTTTCTGCAAATAGTACCTCTCCTGTTCATCGTGCATTATTTTTCTTCGGTACCATCTTGTTGCTGCTGTTCTTGGTGAATTGCCGACTGAAGATGATGAAGTGGATTTTGATTTTAAGTGCATCCAAATTAGAGGGTCCCTTCATCAATAATTCAATTGATCCAATCCTTTGTTGGAGTTTATTTTTCTACGATGTTGCTTCATTCACTATTTAGTGAATAGTGGGGTGTGTCAATTACTCGGCCAGCTTGGGCTCTTATCCGCCACTTCTTTATTATGGCCGGTTAGCTGTTTGATCAGTTAACTGGTCAAACAGTTAACCGGTACATTTTATTGTGGACAGTCTGGCTTATTCTGAAATGTATTTCGGGACTCTTGATAAAATATTCCGGAGTTAAAGTAAGGACCCGCTTCACCTTGATGATTTTTCCGTCTTCACTTGGAAGTAATATTTATTTCTTTTCAGAAATTAATATACATCCTGAATTGTCCTGAAACTCAAAAATATACCAAAACAAGTGCAATACCTTAAAATGTCCAAGATGATAAAGATCAATCATTTTTATTTAAAAATAAGAAATAAAGTATTAAAAGTGTGACAAAACAAGATCATAAATATGGTAAATTAGGAGTACATCATCTTCCGACTGAGTGCATCTGCTACAACGTTTGCCTTACCTAGATGGTACTCAATCACTAGATGGTAGTCTTTTATCAACTCCATCCACCGTCTCTGCCTCATGTTTAACTCTTTCTGAGTAAACACGTACTTCAAGCTCTTATGATCAGTGTATATGTGACATGTCTCCCCGTAGAGATAATGTCTTCAAATCTTCAGTGCAAACACCACTGCTCCCAGCTCTAAATCATGAGTAGGATAGTTTACCTCATGCTTCTTCAACTGTCGTGAAGCATAGGCAATTACCTTCCCCATCTGCATCAACACACATCTAAGCCCTTGGATGCTCGCATCACTATAGACATCGTACCCCATACCCTGTTTGGGTAGTGCAAGTACCGGTGCCTCGGTCAATCTCTTCTTTAGTTCAAGGAATCCTTTCTCGCATTGGTCATCCCATACAAACTTAGCTCCTTTTCGAGTGAGCTTCGTCAATGACGACGCCAAAACAGAGAACTTCTACACGAACTTTCTATAGTAGCCTGCCAATCCAAGGAAACTACGAATTTCCTTGACGTTCTTTGGCCTCTCCCATTCAGTAATGGCTTCTATCTTCTTATTATCAACCGCAATTCCTGATCCCAAAACTACATGCCCGAGAAAGCCAATCTCCTTTAGCCAAAATTCGCATTTAGAGAATTTAGCATAGAGTTGCTTCTCCCGTAGTGTCTCAAGAACAAGTATAAAGTGCTCCTCATGTTCTTCCTCACTCTTTGAGTAAATCAAGATGTCATCTATGAACACAATCACGAATCGGTCCTAGTATTTATGAAATACTCGGTTCATCAAGTCCATGAATGCCGCCAGGGCGTTTGTTAACCCAAACGACATAACAAGGAACTCAAAATGCCCATACCTTGTGCGGAAAGCACTCTTGGTATGTCATCTTCCTTAATCTTCAATTGATGGTACCCCGACCTCAAATCAATCTTCGAAAACACGGTTGCTCCTCGTAGTTGATCAAACACATCATCAATCCTAGGCAAAGGATACCTATTCTTGATTGTGACCTTGTTCAGTTGACGATAGTCAATACACATTCGAAGTGTCCCATCCTTCTTTTTCACAAAAAGAACCAGTGCTCCCCACGGGGAGTGGCTTGGTCTAATGAAACCGTTATCCAAAAGTTCTTGCAATTGGGTTTTCAACTCGTTAAGTTCTGCGAGTGCCATTCGATATGGCGGTATGGAGATTGGTTTGGTGCTGGGCTTGACCTCGATCACAATTTCAATCTCTCTATCGGGTGGAAGTCCCGATATTGTTTTTGGAAAGACGTCTGGATACTCGCACACTACTTTCACATCATCGATGCTTGTCTCTTCTTTGGTTTTGTCTACCACATATGCTAGATACGCGTGGCATCCCTTTTCTCATCATACTCCTAGCTCTCACGGCAGATATGATACAACTATTGGATTTTTCTCTATCCCCCTCGAAGCGTAAGGTTACCCCTTCATCGCCTTCGAGTTCAAGTACTTTCGTGTAGAAATTGACTCTAGCATGATGCTTCTCAAGCCAATCCATCCCCAGGATTGCATCGAACTCAATCATACTCAGCGGTACGAAATCACATGTCAAGTTTTGGCCCTCCACTTCCACCTCACACAATGGATAGTGGCTATCTCTCTCGATGTCTTCCCCTAGAGGCGTGGATACTAACAGGGGTTGAGCCATCGGTACGAGTGGTTCATTGAATCCCCCAGCAAACTCCTCACTCACGAATGATTGTTGCGCCCCGGTGTCAATAAGGATTCTTGCATCTCTCACATTAATCTTTAGTGTTCCTACATCCATAAGCCATGTAAGACACACTTCCAACTTAATAGACTCATTTCTTAAGTCGTAGTTACACTAGGTACGGTTCTGATGATCGTTGTTCGACGCCCCATCGCAAACCCGCCCCGGTTCTTACCTTAAAAATTGTTGTTGGGCATCATCAAGTGAAAGCCGACCGCTTTTTGTAAAAGTCGGCCGGTCTTCGGTTATTGGTCAACGGCTCGAAATGATTCGTTACGTAAGCCGGCCGGGATTAACGAAAGCCGGCCGGTTTTCATCGCCGCAACTTAATTCAACAATTAAATCCCAAAACCCGGTCGGGCTTTGCGAAAGCCGGCCGGTGTTCGGCTGCGTAGCATTTCCCGTCTTTAATCAAAAGCCGGCCAGTTTCTGCGAAAGCCGGTCGGTTCTTGGCGCTGTGGGTTTAATCCGACTATTCATATATGAAAGCCGGTCGGCTCCCACTAATGCCGGCCGCTTTTCCTCGGCGAAGTTTACACGGCGAAAATCCTTGAACAAAAGCCGGTCGAGATTCACGAACGTCGGGCGACGTTCGTCACCGTGGGATTTTTGCAATTAATTCGAAGACGAAAGCCGGGCAGCTTTCATCAATACCGGGCGACGTTCGCCCAGGGCGGGTAGACTTCCCCTCTTTTAGCTTAAACAAGCTCGGTCGACCATAGGACTCACACGATTTCCTCTTCTTGAAGCCCCTCCCAAAGCACACCTTACCTGACGCCTTTGGCGATCTTGTTGATATTGTCGGAGGAGTTCCTCTATTCTTCCTAGATTGTCATCATCGTCGCTCTCTTTACTAGTGTCGTCATATTCCCCATCATTTGGGGTCTCACCCGGTTCAGTTTCCGGTTGGTAAGTCGAGTCCTCCTTGGACACGTAAAACTCATATACGGTTTCCACATGACACTTACAGTCTGAGATTGGCCTCCACGGCCTCGCCCCCTGGACACTCTAGAGTCCCCTCTACTGCCATGTTGGGACCTTCCCGGTGCCTGACCAGTCGGGTTTCTCTAGTAACATTCCGGGTACGTTCCATTTTTTGAAAGGAATAGAGAACGAGTCGTTAGACACTTAGGCTCGTATCAAATGTCAATTGACGGATAGGTACTTAAAGACATCCTTTGACTCAAATCACCGCCATACCAATTGTTAAGGGTACCATCTTAACAATTAGAGACCTTGCAACTCAAGTACCAAAAGTTCTATAAGTACAAAACTTTATGCTCGTGGTTTTCAAATTCATTTTCAAAAAGGAATTTTGAAGCTTCATTATGAAGTTTACGGACTAAGGCTCTGATACCAATTAAATTTTCACGCCCCGGACCTACCGGACACGTCAACAACCCGCCGTACAGTACGAATAGTCAACCGCAGTCCAACTCATCCATACTATACTAGGCGTCTTGAATACTACTCGCACATAGTACATCCATAAACAAACATAATGTAAAATATTCATTTAATGCAACGGAAACATTTGATACAAGTGCTTAAGCCACACTTGGCAAACATAGGCATACAAGTCTCAAATAATTATTCAGAAAAAATAATATCCATGAGCATTAAATATAATTGTTTTTAAAATAGATACGGAGGAAGCACGAACCACGTCTCCTCTCCTTGGATCTTCCCGAGCAACGGGCAATGGTAGCAACCTTCAAGTTCTACCTGAAACTGTGAGGTGGCCTCCCCCGTGAAGGGGAGGTCAGTACTTGGAAGCATTTGACAATTACAATGACAACTATACTAAGTATAATCAATAGTTCAATTTCTAAGACCCTCAAATAGAGTGATATCATAATATAATGATAGTTCTTATTCCGTCCTTATTATCTTTATAATAAGTTAATTTATTAATTTGTCGGCACGTGGGCCCCTTTTCATATTCCATTTCATTCATCGTTTGCACAATACCGCCCGTAGGCCTTATCATTTATACGAGACTCGTCACCGCTGCCCGAGGCCTCATCGGGCCCTCGGGTCGGAGTCCAACATCCCGCCCCTGGGCTCATACCCATCATCCCGTAGGAAGGTAAGGCCTATTCGGGGTCCTATCTTATGTGTTACCGCTGCCGGAACCCTGTTAGGTCTCCGGTTCGGATTCCACCCTATCTTATATCATGTGTTATCGCTACCGGAGCCTCGTGAGGTCTCGGGTTCGGATTCCACCCTAACTCGTGATCACGATGCAAGTCCATGCTGCCCAACCCCACTCTCTAGAGTCGAGAAGGGTCATGGTCCTTACTTATTACCATAATTTAACCGGCTACCCTTAAGGATTACCGAATACACCCGTAGGCAAATCCTATACCTAGGATCCATTTATTATTCACTTTAATTACCTTGGGTATCCTTTAGGCCTACCCCTAGTATAACTTAATGTTCATACATGTCCACCTTAGCATCACTTAAGACTATTTAAGGTTCACTATTTCACAATCCAACCTTGGGATTAATTGTAGCATATTCTCATTCCAATACCCCGACTAGTATCTTAATACTAGTCGGATAATTTCCAACTATTCAAGTTTTCAACTCTTAGTCATATAGACATTCCCAACTGATTTTCCTTTGAAAATTGTAGTTCATAGCAATTATACAAACTATAACTTTCATTCACTCTCTTACTCTTATATGAAGTAAAAAGTATATTTCAATATAAAGTTCATAGTCAATTCCATTATCAAGCCTTCATACTCATATCACATAATCATACACAATTTATCCTTAAATTTGCATATCATGCTCCTTTCTTAATAGACAATAGTTCTTTATTTTTAGGCATTATTAATCATTAATAATCCATAAAAATACATTTAATTACCTTAGGTAATCTCATGAAATTAACTCACTAATTATAAGCAATATAGTCAGTCATCCTCACTTTATGAAGTGCTGCAATAGTTGCCTTTGTTAAGCCCTTCGATCAATCCTCGTTCTAGGCCGATCGAAAGTGAAAATTCTGGACAACAGCCAAAAGCCAGGCGGCTTTCACAAAAGCCGGGCGGCTTTCGTGGTCTGCAACTACGAACAGCCTCCTATACTTGGCGGTTTCCGACGGTTTCAACTCCTCTCGATTCCACAACTCTTCTAAGTTAAATACCACCACTTTATAACAATATTCTACACTTTTAAACTTGTAGAACTTCATATTTAATCCACCATATGATTTCTTAAAAATCATACAACATAAAACTAGTTAAAGAACACTAGTTGAGTTCTTACCTCAATCCTAGCTCTTTTCTTCTTGGATTTCTTTCCTGTTGCTTCCCCCTAGTTTGCTGGTTGTGAGAGCTCCTTCCACCCACCTTATCTCTCTATTTCTTTCGTATGGTGCAAATGAGAAGCAAGAGGAAGCATCCCCCTTAATCAAGACTCCAATAATATGTGGAGTAGGGCATTAGGAGTTTTCATATGTCTCCTCCCATCTCCCTCACACTTTTAGTCCGCACACACTCACTTCCCTTGTCCCCCCTCCCTATTATTTTGGGGGTTATTTGACTGGTAAAATATCCCAAGTGGGCGTAGGAAGTCCCTCCCAATTATTCATGCTATTTTTGGCAGGTTGGGTCAAAATAGGAGTCGGGTTGTCCAAACATTTTTATCAACCTTTGTTGACATTCTATTGGGCTTCTATCATTATCACGATAACTCAACTAAATATTTGGTAGTCCATTCTCATTTTTATGGACCCGATAAATAATTTAAATTATCACACATTAATTAAATATACCAATTCGTCACACGAATTTTATTCGCTAGGAAATTCAAATACATATCAAATTTCGAATTCAAGAACATCCGGGTGCGGTGTCACAACCTGGGTGACTACAATAAGTTTTGATGACATGATTTATTATATAGAAGAACTATGTTTGATTATCATGGTGCAAATTATATTATTTAATATCATAATTGAACAAGGTCTTTGCACCATGTCAAAATATCACTTGTAGTGAGTACCTCCTTTAGAGAATTTAATGTGAACAATTTTCTTATGTGTTTTCACATGATGTCATGACTAGAATTTAAACTAATTTAA